TGTGTGTGAAGTCACATGATTGTGTATCCTGACTCTCAGGAATAAAACAGGTTTTTATTACTAAAAAAGAAAAAAACACACTTTTAAAATTTTATTTATTTATTTATTTATTTATTTATTTATTTGAGAGAGCCAGCAGTGTGAGTGAGGAGAAGGGCAGAGGGAGAGGGAGAGAGAAACCACAAGCAGACTCCTCAATAAGCGTGGAGCCCAACCTGGGGCTTGGTCCCCGCCCCTGAGACCATAACCTGCACCGAAACCAAGAATCAACTGCTTAACTGACTGAGCCACTCAGGTGCCCTTAAAACATGTTTTTGGTCAACCATGCAAGAGGAAAGACTGAATCATCTCTCCATTTTTACTGAAGAAATTTACTTTTAAAATTTATAGACAGTTCTACTTTTTTTTTTTTTTATCTTCCTTCTCTTCCTAAAAATTTGAGTCCTAAAACTATTAGGTAGAGCAGAACAAGAGGAAAGCATGTGACGGGGGAGGGAGCCACAGTGGCTGAGAGCAAAAGTCAGAGCCCCAGCAGGATAAGGAGAGTGTTCACATGGCATGGAGTTCAGGAAGGTGAAGAAGGTGTCCCTGCGTGGGAGGGGGCAGCCTGCCAAAAGGTATCAGAGCCCACATGGGGTGAGGAGGGCATTTATAGGAGATGGGATGGCAGCAAAGCTAGGAGATTGTTTACAAACAAGGGCTTGATCCAGTAAGTAAATAAATTGAGAAAAATAGAAGCCAGATTTCTCAGTGTTAAGGAATGGAGGTATAAATATAGAGACGGGGGAGCTACGATGAACCCCATTATAGTGGATTAGAATTGCCTGTAATGATAGGAACCCATGTTTTTAATATGTATAAATAGACATAGAAATAATTGTAACTGTAAATGACTGTGTGTGTGTGTGTGTGTGTGTGTGTGTGTGTGTACACTCTTTAGCTCTGGAAGAGCCTGGGCACAGTGACACCCTCCTAACAGTGAGGTCTTGGTTTCTGATTATCATCCTAGCACAGATCATGACTTTTAAATACTACGCTCCACAAAAGATTGAATCAGAGAATCTTGGAGGACTGGTTGATTCCCGGGGCTTGAAAAGAGGTATCTTCTCATACCAGAGAACAATGGATGCTCAAAGAATGATGGGGCATGTCAAAATGACAGACTCCAGTTTAAAGAAGCTGCCATTAGGCAAATCTGTGACAATCTGAGCATTAAAATAATGATAGTAATAGGTTACAAGCCACTAAACAAAATAGGAGACCATGAGTTCATAACTAAAGACACACATACATACATTCAAACTTTGAGAAGGTATACCTCCAAAGTCTCAAAATACCTCCTCACAAACTACACATCCATTACAAAGGGAAAAGAGTAAGTATAGTGGAGAAGACTGGCAGACATCACCTTAGCCAAGTGACCAAAGTGAAACATGGGACAGATGAAAATGTGTGCTACCTAATAAAATGTATCAAAAAGAACACAGCAGAGACGCCTGGGTGGCTCAGTGGTTGAGCACCTCCCTTTGGCCCAGGGTGTGATCCTGGAGTCCCGGGATCGAGTCCCACATCAGACTCCCTGCTTCTCCCTCTGCCTGTGTCTCTGCCCCTCTCCCTGTCTCCCATGAATAAATAAAATCTTAAAAAAAAAAAAAAAGAACAGAACAGTGGGGCGCCTGGGTGGCTCATCGGTTGAGTGTTTGACTCTTGATTTCAACTCAGGTCAGGATCTCAGTGTCGTGAGATTGAATCCTACATTGGGCTCCACACTCAGTGCAGAGTCTGCTTGTCCCTCTCTCTCTGCACTCCACCCACCCACTCACCATCCCACTTACTCTCTCTCTCAAATAAATAAAATCTTAAAAAAAAAAAAAAAAAAAAGAATGGGGCACCTAGGTGGCTTAGTCTGTTAAGCCTCTGGCTCCTGGTTTCAACCAGGTTGTGATTTCATGGGTTGTGAGATTGAGACCTTCGTTGGACTCCACACTCAGCAGGGAGTCTGCTTGAAGAGGCTCTCCCTCTGCCCCCTTCCCCCCTCAAAATAAATAAAATTAAAAAAATATTTTATTTATTTATTCATGAGAGACAGAGAGAGAGAGGCAGAGACATAGGCAGAGGGAGAAGCAGGCTCCCCGCAGGGAACCTGACGTGGGACTCGATCCCAGGATCCCGGGATCACATCCTGAGCCAAAGGCAGACGCTCAACCACTGAACCACCCAGGTGTCCCTAAATAAATAAATCTTAAAAAAAAAAAAAAAGCCCACGACATCACTTCTGTGATGTTCCTGTTAAAGATACATAATCTGAATCACAAGGAGTCCTTAGACAACCCTAAACTGAGAGCCTTGCCACAAAATAACTACAACTCTTTGAAAGCCTCAAGGTCTTGAAAGGCAAGGAAAGACTGAGAGACTTTCTGACTGATAAAGACTAAAGGGACATGACAAAGAACCTCAGTGGGAGATTTTGGCCTGAGTCTAGTCGCTGCAATGGTTTCACTGGAGCATTTGGTGAAACTTAAATGGAGTCTCAGATTATTATTATTATTTTTTGGAGTCTCAGATTAGATGGTAAATGTTCCATGTTAATTTCCTAATTTTGATGGTTGTATGAGCTTATGTGGAGGAGTGTCCTTGAACACAGGAATTACACACTCAATGTTAACTCAAATTCAAGAGAGTTATGGGCAGCAGGTTGGCAATTTACCCTCAAATGGTTCAAGTTAAAAAGAGTTCCCTGTACTGTACTTGCAACCTTTGTTTGTGATGGTTTCAAAACAAATACCATGTAAATGAGGCAAGCAAAGAATGTGCAGCTAAAACAGAGGCAAATATTGTCAAGCAATTAATCAAAGTATTGTGTTATTCTCCTGGGTTTGTGACAGTGTTTTTCAGTCAGCTTATTTTAATTTATAATTGGTCGTGATTTGTTTTCTCATTTTATTTTAAATATATTTTTTTAATTTTTAAGTAATGTCTGCACCCAACATAGGGCTCTAACTCACAACCCCAAGATCAAGAGTCAACATACTCTGCCAACTGAGCCAGCCAGGTGCCCCTGTGTTTTCTCAATTTAAATATTCACTTTCATACCTGGTTTTCTATTCCTAAAGAGGGACCTCCAAATTGTATAGGCTTCAGTCCCCATAAAGCCATTATCCACTATTGGCCTCTCTTGTACCCTTTAAAGATGAGGAAACCGAGACACAGAAATATAAAGTGACTCACCCAATGTCACTAAGTGATGAAGCAGGATTTGTTTTTTTAAGATTTTATTTATTTATTCATGAGAGACACACACACACAGAGAGAGAGAGAGAGAGAGAGAGAGAGAGAGGCAGAGACACAGGCAGAGGGAGAAGCAGGCTCCATGCAGGGAGCCTGACGTGGGACTTGATCACTGGTCTCCAGGATCAGGCCCTGGGCTGAAGGCAGCACTAAACCGCTGAGCACCCCCCCCCCCCCCCCGCTGCCCCAATGAAGCAGGATTTGAAACCAGGAAGTTTGACTCCAGAGTCCCCTTCCAGGGCAGGGGCACTGAGATGAAAAGAACTTTACAAATGTGGGGATTAAGATTATTCACAATTAGAATAAAAATGCACACTTGTCTGCTGGAGTTTAGGTTCCTTAGGCAGAGGAAAGGGAGGAGCAAAGTCCTCCTACTGTATGCCAGAAACTGCTTGGAATTTCACATCCAGGACTTCACTTTTTTATTATCCCAGATTCCCAGATGAAGCTCCTGAGGCCCACAGGGATCAACCCAAGGTCACACAACTGGAAAATGATAGAGCCAGGAGCAAGTGCCAGGGATGGTGACGGCTGCCCAATAGTGTGCTGGCAGAAGGCTTGCCAAGCTGGGTTTGCCAAGGTTCATGGACATGGCACAGCCCAGGACCTTCCCACCCTCTCTCACACCCCGTGCCCCACCATCCTGAGACAGATGCCCAGGACAGAGTTGCTATGTGGCTGGCGGCAGCACAACATTTCTACCCAGATCGTAAGTAGGCAACATTTTTGACCAGGCAGCTGCAAGGTGGGGACCCAGGTAGCCACCAGCTCTGGGAAACAGGTCACACAGCTCGGGCTGCACCATCAGGAGAGTGGGTCCAGGGGAGCAAGTAAGGACTTTAGAGTCAGACAGATCTGGGCTCTGTCTCCTCTTACTGGTGTGACCTTGGGCAAGTCACTTCACCTCTTTGAGTTTCAAAAAGTAAGAGTTTTGCCTCATGGGGAAGCTCTGAGTATTAGAATGGAAAGTGCCTAGCACACAGTAGGTGCTCAATAAATAGCAGCCAAACTTTATTCTCATTCTGTGAGGGCTTCTCAGCAGAGAGAGCATTTTGGGAACTTTAGAAATCCAGGCTAAGGAGAGAGAGTTCTTAGGGACCCTGTTTCTGGAGGGGCCCCAGAACTGAGTTGGGAGAGGGAGGCCTCCTGGCCTGCACAGTGGGCAAAGTCCTCCCAGCCCCCCAGGGTCCTGGCTCCGTTCCCGCAGCCTGTTCCTTACCAACAACAGGAGCAGAGCCCCAAGGTTAGGCAAACAAGTCCCTGATAAGGCACTTCCAGGTTGGGCCTTGCATTCAAGGCTCGTCCAGCTCCAGGGCTGGCCTCCCAGCTTAGCGCCAGTCTTGCAGGCACCAATAGGGACACCTGCAATGGCCACCTGCTGATTGTGCACCTGAGGCCTTGGTGCCTCGGTACAGCCTGGGTTAATGACCCTGTTTATCCACTTGAGTCATCTGATAAGGGGCAGCCGGGCCAGCGGGCAGGCAGCCTTGTGCCCTGCACAGGCTGCTTCATTGACTGAAGTGATATCAGGGCCACGTGGAACTCCCAAAGCCCCCTCCCCCGCCACTTCCCCACCAATCCTGCAGGGTCAGTGCGTGTTTCTTTTTTTTTTTTCAATGAACATGACTTCTGGAGTCAAGGTTGTCAGGCCGTCCCCCCTGCCCCCACCCACCGTCCCTCCCACTGGGGGATATAAATAGCACCCAGCACACAGCAGAAGCAGGAGAGCTGGGAGGAAGAAGGAGCAGATCCCCAACCATGAGCTCCAGCCAGCCAGGGACCTGCCCGTGTCAGGGTGCTGCAGGCCGCCCAGCCATTCTCTATGCACTTCTGAGCCCCAGCCTCACGGCCAGGCCCCCAGTGCCCCCGGTTCAGAGTCGCTGCTTGTGCAGACAGCACCGGCCTGTCCGGCTGTGTGCCCCGCATCGCACCTGCCGGGAGGCCTTGGATGTTCTGGCCAGGACAGTAGTCTTCCTCAAGAACCTGCCGTCCTTCTGCCAGCTGCCCCCTCAAGATCAGCAGCTGCTGCTGCGGGTCTGTTGGGGCCCCCTCTTCCTGCTGGGGTTGGCCCAAGACACTGTGACTTTCGAGGTGGCTGAGGCGCCGGTTCCCAGCATACTCAAGAAGATCTTGCTGGAGGAGCCCAGTAGTGGTGCACGCAGCGGCCAGCTGCCCGATCGGCCCCAGCCCTCACTGGCTGCTGTACAGTGGCTTCAGTGCTGCCTGGAGTCCTTCTGGAGCCTGGAGCTGGGCCCCAAGGAATACGCCTACCTGAAAGAGACCATCCTCTTCAATCCTGGTGAGCTTTCAGACATTCCTGGATGGGGACCCAGCCAGGGAAGGCACCTTCTAAGGGCTTGACACCCGTTTTCTCTTTGGGTCCTCATTATCCCCAAAAGTCACCTCCCAGAGAGGTTAAGTGATTTGCTGAAGGTCACACAACCTCGGTAGGGGCAAAGCAGGGATGGGAACTCAGGTTTATTCCCTCCAGAGACTGGTCCATGCCACTCTGCCTAAGAAACTTGCCCTGACTGTCAGGGAAGGTGAGCAGACACAACTCTGCCTCTGTCACAGGTAAAACCCTGTGGGTTCAGAAAGACCCCATGGAGAAGAATGAAAATGTGAGATCAGAATTCCTCATCAAAAAGCCCTCGTAGAATGCATAAATGATGGTAATTAATTATAGTGATAGTAATGAATATTTATATTACATTTACCATATATTAGGTCCAATTATAAGGGTTTTGAATATACTAGCTGATTTAAACTTCATAACATGCCTAGGAGATAGGTATTATTATCCCCATTTTACAGATGAGAAAACTGAGGCACAGATATTAACATATCTGAGGTCATGCAACCAGTGAGTGACAGCATGGGATTCAAACCCAGGCTGCCTGGCTCTTAACCATTACTCTGGGCTGCCCCATAAATGGATGGATAAATAAAGTGATAAACACATAAATGGAGGAGGTAGTAATGGGGCCTCAAAGGCCAAGCCAGTGACCTCCAGTCTTGGGCCAGTATTGCTGCCTGGGAGTGGGGTACTCACCCGCCCTCTTCATCCTCTCTGCCCACAGGCTTGCCAGGCCTCCACGCCTCCTCCCACATCGGACACCTGCAGGAAGAGGCTCATCATGCGCTATGTGAGGCCCTGGAGCCCTGGTGCCCAGCAGGCCAAGGTCGCTTGGCCCGTGTCCTCCTCACAGCCTCCACCCTCAAGTCCATCCCGCCCAGCCTCCTTGGGGACCTCTTCTTCCGCCCTATTGTTGGAGACATTGACATCGCTGGCCTCCTTGAGGACATGCTTTTGTTGAGCCAACCTGTTCCAGCCCAGGCAGAGATCAAGTGGAGGTTGGGCAAAGGCTGGCAGCACTGATTTGGCCCAGCTGTCCCCAGGGATACCTGATGCCCCCAGAGGGAGCAAGTTTGTACAGGCAGCACTCAGCCTCCCTGGAACAAGCCTGTCCTGCCCCAGAGAGATGGGCTAGGGGCACTCCCCACCTCACTCACCACACGGCCCCCACTGGCCTTTCTTGGTTTGACGTGGTGCTCCAGCTGTCTGGAGCTGGAGTGGTCCTCTGGCTTCTGGGCTAAGACTCCTGACCCCTTCTGAGATGGGGATGGCAGTTAGGTTGCTCAATGGGACAAGTCCTACTGACTTTGTATAGAAATGATTTAAGTTATTGGTTTTTGTAATAAAAGGCATGATACCCTTGGAGCCTGACACTGTAATTTGTACATGGAAGGGACTGTCCCACCTCCAGGGCCCACTCTGCCACTATCAGGAGTTCAGGAGGAAGGAATCATAAGGAGTGCTGGAGCCAGCCCTCAGGGAACTGGGATATTAATTTTTCAGGGCAGGATGATTATTTCATCTTGGGGGATGAGATTTATTTTGCACAGGGACTAGGATCAGTTCAGGCCCCCTTACTTCCTTGCCTTTATCTTTAGGGCTGAGAGTGTCTCTTCCTGGTCCCCTTGTGGGGAGTGCTAACCCCTCTCTTGGCTTCTGAGCCATACAGGCTCCCTCTCACCTCAACAAAAGTCAGATCACAGCCAGTAAGGAATATGAAGCAGCCCATTCTCAAATTTAAACAGGCAAGGTCAAGGTCACAGGAATTTCTGCAGTTTGGGATCATTCACTTGCCCATTCCTGCAGATGACAGAAGACAGTCCACTGCTGTCCCAATGGGAGGGGCAAGGGAACCCAGGGCTGGCCCCACACAGCTGCCTGGAGCCCAAGGCCGACTGAGGTCTAATTACCACAATGGCTGTTAGAGTCTGAGACTCTTCCATGGCAGTTGGTTCACAGCGACTGCCCTGAGTCCCCCCCAAGTCCCCTCCCATGGCCTCTCTGTCCCAGCCCTTCACCTGGAATCCATCCTCATTGGCCAACACCTAGAGAGGTGATGGCTGGTATAGCCATGGCCTCCAGCACTGCTCCATTCAGAGCATGGCTGGTGTCTGTTCTGATTGGTCAATGTCTGTGGCTCACTGTTTGTTAAATATTTTGAATATCACACAGGTTCGGGTGACTGACCTGTAAGCAGCAGGGAATGATAACGACACACATGCCTATAGGATCCCCCAGCAAGCCTCCCCCTTCCTTTAGCAATAAGGCTTGTCCTTACCAGTCCCACCCCCTTTGCCATCAGTTTGGATTCTCTTCATGGGGCCAAGTTAATTATTGCTTAATGAGAGGTCATTCGCTCAGGAACAACAGTCGAAGAGCTGCCATTCAGGCCTCTCCCGAAGGCCCCCAGGATAGGACCACAGTTGAACCAGCCATATGCCCATTATAGGCACCCAGTGCCAGCAGAAAGGGCAACCCTGTCCCTTAACCAATCACCTGCTCACCACTCAGACACCCAGAGTGACAGAAACACACAGCTCACACCCCACAACAAAGACACACAACTCAGACCTACAACTCTCTCTTACACACATGCACACTAACATATACAAATCAGAGACACCTACACAGACCCTTAAAACAGACCCACCATCTATCCACACACAGCATGGAAATGCACAGCCAAGACACACTCGGTGACATATAGTAGACCCAAACACATGACAGCAGAGACAGCTCCAGAGCCAGAGGCTCACACATCCATCCCTATGCTCCAGGGTGGGGCACACAGTATGGAGATACCTTCACAATGGGACATGTTCTCCATTTTCTGTATGTCACAGGAGAAAGAAAAATGGCCCCCAAAGTAAACACACCTATATCTGTACATCTCTTAGGTTGACCCAGAGCCTACTAATCCAGGCCAAACTGCTCTGGTTGGCATTTGGGGCCTAAGCTCACCAATCTTCCCCTTCCCCCATGGTGATCCCAACATCTACCCTCCTCCTAGACAGGCTGTGCCCTGCTAAACAGCTCTCCCAAGCCAGGACCTAATCAAATTCCCAAATAGAAGCATCTTTGAGAGCCAAGAACAGGCCTGGCATTCCTCTGTCCCCTAACCTCCCACCAGAACTCCCAAACTCAGACCTCAGGCCCCCAAGCACCTCTACCTGCCTGCCCTTCCCAGCACTTAGACACACACTGCCTATCTCACCATGCAGATGCATGAGGTTCTTCCAAGAGCAGATGTCTTGTCTCTCTGTAGGTGTCAAATCCAGAGGATTTGGGGATTTCAGGTTATTCTTTTATGTTCCTTCACCAACTGCCCCTCATTAGTTTATTGGTGTGCCTCTCTGAACCTGCAGGCTGCCCCTCACCCATTCCCTCCTCCAACCTTGAACAGCCACTAGAAAGTGTTCCTCTCCACTATCCACCCCAGCCTTTCCCCTCATCTTACCTCATGTTTCCATCATCCAAATAGCTTCCCCGATTAGCACTACCTTGCTTCTTTGCAAAGTTCTTCCTTATCCCCTCCACATGATTGAGGACCTATACTTCTGTTTCTCGTCTGTACCTCATGTCATTTCCTGTGCCTTATCCAAACCTTCTGCAAGGAAGATCAAGATAGATCTAGCAAAACTAAGGAGAGTATTATAATACAATGTAATAAGAGCACTACTGTTTCCCCTGTGAGACTAAGGTGGGGGGTTGTGCCTCCATCACCAACAGCTTAGAAGTGGGACTGTGTCTTATCAACCAGAGAGGGTAGAAGAGGAAACAGGCTCAGACAGGTTATGCAACTTATTCAGTGTCGAGACTGATCATTATCTGTGCTGAGATTTGAACTCAGGCCTGTATGACTGTAGAGGCCAGGCTCACCAGCAGCACAGGCTGGCATGAGTTATGGCCAGGATCAGGCTGTCTGGAGCCAGCTTACTAAGGTTTACTGACCATCTACCCTCTCAGCAATAATCCCTATCCTCAGGCCCAGCCAAGGATGACTCACTAGGAATCAGGAGAGGCTGAGACTTTGTGTCAGCCTTGGGTACCATTTTATTATTACCATTATATCTACCTTCATTAGCCTAATAATTGACTGATTATTAACAAGTCAGGTGCTGAACTGACATGTGCTGTGCCTTGGCCAACACACCCTGCCTTTGGGTATCCTAGAACCCATGAAGCCAGCAAAAAGCCACATCCACCCTCCATCCTCCATTCATGTCATCATTCACCATCTCTCTTGATTAGCACTTGTACCAGACCCTGTGCTAGATGCTAAGGGGTGAAAAATACATAAGATAAAGTTTCTGCCTTCACTGAACATGCTGTCTATGGCAGAGAGAGACGTATAAGTAATTGCAACTCAGAGTGATCTGAACTGTGATAGAGGGAGGTTTAGTGGGCAGCAGGAGCTCAGAAAGGGGAGTGATTAAATCCGCCTGGAGGTGGGAAGAATACTTCAGCCAAGTGGTGACTACTCCGAGCTAAAGAGAATGAATAGAGATTAGCCAGGCAACCAAGGGATGGGCATTTCAGATAAAGGGAATGAGAGGTGCAAAAATACTGAGGTGACGTAGAGTAAGGGTGTTCAGCTAACTGCAGCAACTTGGCCTCAGGTCAGCAAGGGATGAGCCTGGAAAGGTGGACAGGGACCAAATCACAGAACAAGGCAGCAGAGAAAGGCAATCTCAGTTAAACTGCTGGAGGCAACAAGGTTAAGGTCTCAGGGGAATCAGGGTTAACATGGGGAATCACTCATTCCTGGTAGGTTAGTCTGGGTAACTACTAAACAATAACCAGCTAACATTTATTGAGGGCTGTGCTCTAAGCATGTTACAGTGGATTCCGTTATCTAATTCTCACAATTACTGTGCTGGAATTACCATCATCATCTCCATTTTATAAATTAAGAAACTGAGGCACAGAGAGGTTAAGTGACTCGCTCAAAGCCACATGGTTAATAAGTAGTAGAGTCAGGGTTTGAACTTAGGTGGTCTGAATTTAGGGCCTATACTATTAAGCACTACACTGTCTTGGGTCTCTAAATGCCAGGGATGGTCAGCTGGAGAACACATAACAGTACCTGGAACCCTTCCCTTCCTCACCACACTACAAGGTGGAATGAGAGGTAAACCTTTGAGTCTAAGGTTTTGATGAGAAATCTGGCTTCCCCCAGGTAAGTGGCCTTACTTTCCCTGAAGATGGTCCTCAACCACACCCAATGGTACATCCCCACACTAGTGCCAGGAATATTCATTCAATCAATGGTGGTTTACTGAGTCTACTACATATCAAGCATCATGCAAGGTTCTGGAAATTTAGGCCCACAAATGGCAATTGTATGGAACCTTAAGTGCATAACTTCTTGGGTCAGCTAACAGCTTTTCCAGAGCACTCATCTCGTTTGCTGTAAAGGACTTATTTTTCTTTTTCCAGATTTTTTCAAAATATAGTTTTAATTCAACCTTTTCTGTAGAATATACAGAGAAGTATACAAATAGTCCATGTACAGTTTGATGAGTTATCAAAATGAACTCCTCTCTGTAATCACCACCCAGCTCAAGAAATAGAGCTTTAGCAACACCCTGGAAACCCTCCCCCATTCCCACACTCTCTCTCTTCCCTAAGTGGCATCGCTATCCCTGATTTCCAACATAAGTGAGATTACTTGCCTTAACCTTTATATAAATGGAAACATACAGCATATATTCTTTTGTGTTTGTCTTTCAAATAATATTATGTCAGAGATTCATTCTGACCCATTCATTTTCATTGTTGTAAAGTATCCCATTACACTACAATTCATTTATCCAAGATAAATGGATGATGATCATTTGGTTCATCAAATATTGCTAGGATTATTCCTGCATACATCTTTTGGTGCACGGATATTTGCAGATCTGTTGTTAAATAACAAGAACTGGAATTACCAAGTCATAGAATGTGTGCTCAACCTAAGATCTTGCCAAATTTTCCAAAGTGGTTGTACCAATTTATACTTCCATCAGATTTTAAAATTCAAGTATGTATAATGATCCTATCTGCAATTACCCAGACTTTATTAGAACTTTTTATTTCTTTCTTTCTCAAATAGGTATATATATGTGATCAACACAAAGTAAACACTTGCCTTATTGCTTTTTGAAGAGTTATTTTCCCTTTTAAGATGTTTTATTAAAATTGAGTAAGACAAAATAATATTTGCAATACATTGTTAAGTGTAAAGAATAACAGTACAATGAACTCTCATCATGTCCAACTTTGAGTCCCTTTCTAAATCTATGACCTCCCCTCAAAGGTAATGATTACCCTGAACTTGGAGTTAATCATTTCCTTACTTTTCTTAATGACAATTTAAAGCA